GAATAATTTTATAATTTGGAACTTGGTTTTTTTGAAATAGTCATAGATCTTGAATGTTATTTAGATTATCTCTTCTCTACTTTGATTACAAGCATAGAATGAGATCTAGATGAATGAGCATTTAAATTAGTGAATGCAACTACTTTATTTTTTTCTGCAAAATTCATAATACTTAGACATTCTTAAGGAGATTCAACTTCCATCCATTCTAATCCTGATACAAATACACCATTATCTGGACATTCTCTTATTTTCACATCTTAATTATCAGGTCTTATTAAATCAAGTAACTAAATTTATTATCTAAACAATACCATCTCCATATATATTTATAAATAACCCAATTACACAGTGTATATGTTATTAGTGTCTGCTTGAATTTCATTAAATATTTATTCAAAAGTTCGAGGAGTGATTCCCTTTTCATCAGAATCAAGTTTACCCATCATTGTATATGTTTTACCTGTTCCAGTTTAACCATAACAAAATATAGTACCATTAAAGCCTTTGATTACACTCTAAATTTATTATAGATTATAAGTTTACTCCAACAACTCCTCTTGCAATATCATTATAAACTTAATTTTATGTTGCTTTTGAATCAAATACAGAGTCAAATTGAAATTATCTTTTCTCAAAATCCTTTTTAACTAATTATATTTGGAAATATGTACTGATGATTAGTTTTTTATTTGGATCAATAGTTTCAACACAAATGGATTTATCTTTACAAATTAATTCCTCTTCAATTAAAGGACGAAGTCGAACTGCTACTTTAACTCTTTCAGACATTTGAGTTTAAATTTAAAATAATCGAACGGTATAAATTATATTATGAGATAACGATTAATAAATCAAGGTTTCTTTTTAGTAGCTTGAGAGTCATCTAATATCTAATTTATTGTTTTACTAAGATTTATAACAATATAAACATTACTTCTTTAGTTATTATAATTGCTTATCCTACTAATTTTTAATGATGAGTTTCTGGATGTTATACATCTTTAATAAAGAAGTACTATTTTGTGATTTCAGAATCGTAGAACTCTTATCACTAACTTTCTCTTAAGAAGCATTCATATTCACTTTCTCTCGACTACTTAATAAATTTTGTTCTTACATATTTTTCATCATCATGTATGAATGTTAAGTCCCAGAACTTCTTCTCTCTCGTGTTTATTGACTATCACAATTCTAAGCTACTTATACACAACCCTCTTGTTGATTCCCTTATTACCTATTATAAACTTGGTTCCCCAAAATATATGATTTTTTGAACAAGCTGGGACTAGATTCTCTAGTTTAATTTTGAGATGAAATCTTTCTTTCCTAACCTGCTGTCAAACTTTTGTTCTTTATGTTAATAAATTATATTATACCTTCTCCAATAATTCTAACTTCTCTTTCTCCAATTAATCAATTTTCTCCTGTAGATTATCCGAATATAACTTCATTTGTTATTCTAACTAATCAATTACTTTTTAAGTTTACCCTAACATGATTTCGAATTTCAGCTTCTGCCTTTTAAACTGCCTTCTCCAATTGATCATACTCTACACCTTTTTATTGTTGAACTAATTCAATTAAAATAGCCACCTGCTACTTAAGAATCTTGAGAATATCATCCAAATTAGGTTTGATTTCGAACTCACTCTTGATAACAGCTTAAATCTGTAAATTACATCATTTAAATAATATACATCTTGCACAATCTTAAGTAATTAGTTATTAATGTTCATATTTATTAATATCAATTTATTTTGCATACATTAAAGAAATAATCTAAACCTATAATCATTATCATTAAATTTAATTAGTAGGATCAACACTTTCGAATTATACAATTCTAGGTAACATCTATGATTAAGCTCTCAGGTTATCACTCCTGTATGAATTCTTAAGGAATCCAACTCCTGTTGATCTAAAGAACCTAAAGATATTATTAATAAAATGTACCTATATTTTTATTCTTCTAAAACTATAGCTTTAATATTATTTGTTTGACGAGATTATAATTTATCAAATAGTTCTGATTTTACTGTTTATCTCATTTAAGGTTGATCATTTATTTTTGTTAATCCAAATACTGATTTAGCTGAATAATACTCTTTTGTATTTTCATCATGAAATAATTGTTAAACAACATCTGTAAATCTTTATCTTTGAGGAGGTTCTTTTTTATTAGGTAAAGTTGGTTTAAAGAATTTTGTAGTATTCATTTAAGTCTATTTCTTAATTGTTTATGTCTAAGTTTAATTTTAAGTATCTTGATTTTATATTTATACATCCTCCTTATAATAAGATGATATGTCAAATACATTATCAAACATTTGATAATATTTAAGATCAATTTAATTTAGAATATTATATCCTAATCTTTGTTCAAAGATGATCAATAATTTGGTTACTAATTAATGAGTATTATTTAGTCTTTGTAAATCATATTAAGATAATTATTGATATTTATTAAATTGTTTACCAAACTATATCATTTCTTTTCTTAATTTAATCAATTATTAATTCTTCAAAAATAAATCATTTAAGAGTTCAATAGCCAAAGATTAACAAGTTGATTCAACTGTTTAAACTTGTTCAATAGCATATAATTGAATTTTGGCCAAATAGAATTCCTTACAATCTTCTGTATTTATTATATTATTGTATTTAGAACAATGAAAACTTATAACTTATGAATATAAGCAATTTAATTTATACTTAATTTCACTGGCTTAATCAAACAATTTCAACATTGTTTTATATAAATTTGCCATTCCTATTAGTATACTAAAAATAATTTTGCCTCTTTCTTTTTTACTCTCATTGTATTAACAAAATTCTTTATGAAATAAATTTAATGATTCATATTGATTGCTCATAATATCCTTTAATTAAGCATTTTATTAATAAATAGAAAAGGTTAAGAATTAAGATTTATTCATAATTTATCCAATAAAAGATCCTAATTTAACACTTTCTACACTATCACTATTAATACATACAAAAATTGTCTATTTTTAATTTAATAAATAATCTCTAAAGTAATCTAATAATTCTACACTTTTAAATGGAACATCTACATGTTTTCGTCTCTTAGTGGTTAAATCAGCCATTGTCTTATATATTTATCCAAACTCAAAAGTACCACTAAATTTAATTATCTTAAGTTTTGAAATTATCACTTATTCTTTGATATCATCATTAGGACTTATCTCAGCCTTTAATTCAATAATTAAATTAGTTCTTTTGTGTCTATCCACAAATTTTTAACTAAGAATATTTTATTCTTTATTAATTAGATTTACCATAGCAATTCTTAATATTTTCATACCCAAAAGATAATTATCTATAATGACTTCTGGTATCCCAAGCAATTAATTTTGACCATTCTAAAATACTGGCATAAAGGGTTATGAATCCAATACTAATAAATCTTTAAAACCACTTTCATCATATTCGAATGCACTCATTTTTATAGTGATGTTATTCTCTAGAAATTTTTCTTCAATAAAATTAAAGATCTCCTACATAATAAGAAGTACAAGTCCTGGATTTCTCATATTTCCAATACCTAAAGTTGCTTTACCAGAATGTCTTTCACCCAATATCTAAATCATATGAGACTCTCCTGCTAAGAAATGTGAAATCAAATCCCTAAAAACTGCTTTATAAATATCTTCATTTGAGTTCTTATTTGCAAAAATACCACTGAATTAGTATTATTAATCTTTAACTTAGACAGTATGTTCATTAAGTTAATGAACAAGTTAAGTCTTTTCAGGTTCATCTAGTTGAGGTTGTCTTAACACTAAGTATGCTTTATATGGGATATCACCTATTTTGAAAGGTTCATTTGAAAGCAAAGATTGACGATCTTTTTTCATTAATATAATTAATAATGGAGTAATGGAAGTATAATCATTAACTTATACTATTATGAAGGAATAAAACTATAAAATAATATAAGTTTATTAATTATAACAAAAATACTCAACTTAGCAAAAACATGATTTAATTTAATTAACAGTAACAATAACAAATGTCTCAACTACCTCAATAGACAGGTTAGACAGTTGAATCCTAATATATACAACAACCAAGTCAAATGAGCATTAAGCCTTAGCCAATCACATTCTATCCACCTTCATTCACACCATTTTAAAATCAAATAATATCAAATCAAAATTATTAAATGCAATAACAATAATAATAACAACTACAATAACCTTAATAAATTTAATAGGCACAATAAGCAATTAATGCTTAATTTTAATAACAACCAATATAATTATAATATGGTGATGATTAATAAATAAAATAAAGATAATTATCATAGAATCTTTAATAACAAATTATGTAATAACAATGGAATGAATAATTTTAATAAATGCTATAGATGCATCATCATAATTATTTACTCTAAAATTAATTACATAATCTAATGATTAATTCAACTAATTAATCAGAATAAGCTAGAAGAGATTTAATGATATAACAACAATAATCTATGGCTGATTTTACAAACTTGTAACCAGAAACTATCACAGAATATATACCAGTTGAAAAGAAGATAATAGAATATGAAACCAGAATTAAAAAAATTCAAGTTCCTGTTACACATGAAATAACAGAATATGTGCCTGTTACTACAGAAACTATTTCACCTGAAAGAACAGTTAGACTATCACCTCCCAAGGAAGTACATATGGTTCCAACTGTTGTTCAATAACCACCAATTTTATAATAGACTGTCATTCCAAGACCTCCTCAAATATAGATGATTCATCCACCTACATAAATAACTAGAATGCCAACACTTCCTGCTTATTAATAAGCCCCATTAACATCATTGAGATCCTAATCCTAATCATCTCCCCCTAGAGTATTGAACAAACCAACAGAAATTCCAATACCTCCACCTCCTCCTCATCTTCCCTTGCAACCTTTTAATTATACACCTAAAGACTTTCCAACTATGAATATGCCCTCCCCTCCTCAATAACTTCATGCTTAGATCTAATTGAATTCACCATTACCGCCACCACTTCCTCCTCCACAATTTGATTCACCACCTCCTTCTTATCCACATTAATTTGGAAATCCATAACATTAACTACCTTCTCATTTAATTCCTTAAGTACCTTAAATACCATCAAATTAATTCAATCAACACTAATTAAATCCTTATTAATAATAACATTAGATGAACCCAAATCAACCATATTAACCTCCATTATTACCTCATCCACCTTAATCTAGACCTGCCCCATTCATTCCAGAATAATATCACAGAGATTAAATAGAAGATGAATAAGATTAGTACTATTATGAAAAACCTTAAAGAAAACAACCAAATCATCCTGATTTTTAATAGACTAAGCATGGTTCTCAATTAGATACTCCTAATTATCATATTCCCAACTATGATAGTGAAAATGTATAATTCCTATTAATATTACATAGATAAGAGATAAATAATCTGAACCAATTCAACATCCAAAAAGAGCTCCCTTCATTCCTAAATCTTATGATCCTGATTTATATTATGAGAAACCAGAATAGATTCATATTCCATCTAAAGATAATTAGAAAAGAGATATTCAGAGATAAGTTTATGAAAAACGACCATAGAATGCTCACCAATAAACCCTAAAAACAAAAGAAAACTACTTTAAAGACACTATATTCTAATGATATACCAATATTATTTTAATATTTATTATTATTAATTATGAGAACTTAAGAAAAGCCAAGCAAATAAGGTGGATTGTACAGTTTGAATCTTGGATAGAATAATGGTCCTTACCTTCCAAAAGACATAATGTTGACAAATTAAAAATCTCTAAAGGTTTGATAATGTAACAGCTTAGCTCCTCCAAGGAGATGAAGTCAGTAAATCAGTATCTAATGTCCTTGCCAGAGCTGGTATGGGATAGCTTTATGAACCTCCAGACATCTATGATGAGAAATCTAAATAGTTTGTAAACTTAGATGAGAAATACAAAACCAGAATGAGTGCAAGTGATAATGTAGCATCTATGAGTACACTATATACAACATCGATAAAATAGCTTTAAGATTCATTAGCTGAGTATAAAGAATTAATAAAGAAAACAGAAGTAATCAATGTACTAAAAATTTAGGAAGAATTAAAAGCAATGAATGAAAAAATCAACAATGACAACATTACAAATATAAGAGAGCTGTAACCTATGCTTAAAGTATTTCATGGTAAATTGAAGGAGAAATTGCATGAAGAGAAAAATGAGAATTATAAATTAATGAGAGAGATTGAAGCATTGAATAGAGAAAAGCTGCAGATTTAGTAATCAATTAAATTAAATTTAGATAATCTATACTTTTTTCACATAAAAGAATAATGGATTTAGAAAAACTTGTTGGTATTTAGCACAAAACAGAATCCCTTTATGCAGAGAAAATTCATGAGGAAGAAGATGCTATTGATGATGAAGATGAATAACATTCAGATAAAGAATTAGATTCTTAAATGTCAGAATCTTAAGACTGATTTTTGTAATCAAATTAATGATTATAAAATGTTAAAATAACTCTTAAAAGAATTATCATTCAATCACTTAATGTTTCTTATCTTAATATCATAAGTAAAATTATTGAATTATCTATTAATTTTTAATAGATAATCTAAATTTTTATTCATAATATAAATCTAATTCAATAATTAAAAAATAAATAAATTTAATTTATGATTTCTTCATAATTTAGATTAAATTAAAAGTTGAATATTAATAATATATTATTAATTATATTTAAATTCACAGAGTTCAACTTGATTTTAAATTTGTATAATTCATCTCAATTTATTATTCTTTTTATGGAATAGGCTATTAATCTAATGTTTCAAATTTAGTCCTTGTAAATTAAGATAATAATTTTACATTTATTTAAGATTTCTAAATTTTATAATCAATAAGAAAAACACAAACAATAAAACCGAGAGGATTATGATAAAAATTCCTCTGTAATTTTCATAATAAATATTCTGGGTAATGACCTTTTATTCTAAAATTTATGTATTATAATAGTATGATAGTTACAATGTTTCGTAATTATTAGTTTAGATTTTTACTATAAGAATATATATATATTAAATTACCTATGGCTTATATTGAAGCTAATAATTTTTCGTATTAATCTTCTCCAATATAAATTTGTTGATTTAAGTTATTTTATGGGTCATGCTAAATTCTTCGTGTAGTAATAGAATGATATTATGAATTATAATTGCATTTATACAATTGTGTATTATCACTTAAACTCTGATTTTAATAGATAAAAATATATGTGATACTTTCTAATAAGTAATCTTAACTTGATTTTTCAGAAGATTAAATTGGTGAGTAATTAAAATTTATATGATTTTCAATTATTGATAATTAAAAATCTCCACCATTACCTGGATAGAAATGATTTAAAGGTACAATTGTATCTTATTTTAGAATATCTAAACTTAATATATAAGAAACAACATCTGTTTATGTAGTATTTTTAATTGTTTAAGTATTTATGTAATATGTATCTGGTAATACAAATGGGATTGTTCCAGATAATTACTAATTGTGTATAGATTCAATCTTGTCCTTATAAAAACCCATAGTAAGATTATCTCTTGAGGCACTTCCAAATACATGTACAATCCCTCCACATAATTGTATTTGAATAAATAATTTGGCCATTTCAAAAATGTGAATTTCCCATACTTTTTATTCTCCTACTTTAGTTCTAACAATTCTTTATGATTTTGGTGTTAAGATATTATAGTCTTTGTTACCCAATGTTATGAAGTAACTAAAAGTATAGTAGCCCATTGGATTGATAGTAAGAAAGTAAAGGCCTGCTATACTAGGTATTTAGATGTAAGTAATGCTATCTATATCTTAAACAAAAGATATTTAAGCATCAACAAAATCATGATAATCTGATAATATATTAGGATTATTATATCTATCATTTTTTAAAGTAAATTGAGGTGGACGAGTACTTTTATCTCTTTAATGATTTATTTATTCAATTGTAATTGAATAATAATCTTCAATTGAATTATTTATTCCATTTGGAATAACAAAGTAAAATGGAATCAAAAATGATTATCCAATAGAAAATCTTTATGGTTATCCTACTTTTAATTCTATTGCCTAATTTTTATCTATGATTTCAATTTAATATATTGATTCATTAGTGAAATTAGAAAACACTATAAAATAATAAACTTAAACATCATTAATATCATTTTCATCTTTAATAGCATTGATAATCAAAGTTCTATTAGCATAAATACCTTCACGACTTCCTATTTAATTTTTCTAATAATCTAATGTTCCATCTTTTTCATCTAGAACTAGAAGCAAATTAGAAAATTCTTGATCTGTCTTATTCTTTTTATCAAATAAATAAATTTATCCTTAAAAAACAGTTATATTTAAATAGAATTCTTTATTACGAGAAGTAAAATAAAAATATTTTTAAGTCTCATTAATTTTAAGTTTATTTTTAATTTCAATATTATCGTATAACTAAATAGGAAAATCCTTTCTAGAAATTGTAATAGCTAATTCAATATCAAGAAAGTTATTTTCTATATAAATCATAAAATAACAACTGAAACAAAAATGCTCTTAATTAGTTGTGATTTCCAAATACAAATCTTCCATTTTCCAATGATATCTGAATATAATATAAATTAAATGTACTGTGTTTGTATAGAATTTATGACTTCTGATAATTCATTAATTTAAAATGAACGAACATGAATTTTAGGTTTGATGTATTAATTGACAGCATTGGAACTTATAAGAATTCTAAAATCAATTTATTAACCATTATAAAATTATAAATAAGTTTTTGAATTCCAAGGAAATACTTAATAAAATGGTTTTTAAGTATTAAGACGATAAAAACGAGAAGATCCAAGTTTTATTTAAATTGAAATAGTGACTTCTTTAAGAGCAAAAACACCGATGCTATAATAATTTTGATATTATATACTAATAAGTGACTATTGATTTTGAATTCTTTTTTGGAGGGATTATTAAAAAGTCACCAAAATTGAAGTTGGAACTATAATCATGAGATTATTAAGTAGGCATTTAATTGACACTTGCATATATAACAATAAAATTTCTTTCTGAATTTGTAACTATAATTTATAGTCCAGTAGCTTCATTATAATCAGTAACTTTAAAATACTTTATTTAATTATATTTAATTTTGCCAGTATAAGAAAATCCTTCAGTTAATTTAAATGCTCCAGAAGAACGTATAATAGTGTATTAATTATAATTTTAATTTTGTGTATCTGAATTGATACAAGTAACTGCAGCATAACATGGAGTTTTATCACAATTAATTTTTTGTATGTCATTTAATGTTATAAAAACAGAACTTTCAATTTTAATATCATCATTTAATGATTAGAATTATGAATTATCATCATTAGTTGGAAATTATTCTAAAGTAGGTGGATCTAATTATATAATATTAACTAAAATTCTTATATTAGCAGTAATAGAAAATGTAGCTATTTCTGTTTCTTCAGTTAATAAAAATGTAAAATAATCTAATTTATTTTTAATTGTTTTTGTAATAGATTCCTCATTATATAATTTAATAATTTATGACTCTTTAGAAACTAATAAAGTAAATTAAGTGTCTTCACTTGATTCAACATGAATAGCAATTATACATTATATAATTTCTTCAGTTTTTTTGCATTTATCATATTTAATTTAATTAACAGTTATTATAATACTTTATTAATTCATTTCAATAGTATCATCTTCAATATAGATAGTAGCCTATAAAATAGATTAATCAACAGATTCAGCATGAAGATTGATATATATATCTTCTTTTTTATAAAAGTTTACAAAAAAGATTTATTTATCAGACTTTTCAATAAAACCTTAATAGTTATCTCCAAGTACTAATTCAATTGGTTAGGAACTGATTCTATAATGAATTGAATATGAATATAGAGAATATGTTGTAGATTAATTAGTTTAAACTCTTACAAATAAATATTAGGGGTATTTCATATCAGTGAGTATTAATGAATTTGATCCTGTTATAATTGCTTATTTTAAATCAATTTCTGGATGATCAAATCCATACATTACAAATTCACCAGAATTAATTCTCAATTATACTTTTACTTAATTATTATTACTATATCCACTAAGATCTATTTTGAAAAGTTGTACATCAGTTGAATGTGAAGTAATAATTTCTTATGGATAACCTTCAATTAATTGTATATATTAATGTGCATATTTACCAATAGTACCCCAATCATCTTATTTTCTAAATACTATTGCAGTAATAATATATTAACTAGCTGTTTCTCCATAAACTCCTATATATATAGTTCCATTAATAGATGATCCAATACCTTTGGCTCCATAAGTAATGAGATTTTAAACACCTTGATTATCATTTTGTTCTTTTGTTGGATATATTTCAGTTCTAGATGAAAAAATTCTAGGTTAACCCTAAATTGGTGTTAATTAAATGAATAATCTTTAAATATGATCATCATTATTAACAGTAAATTTGTAATAATTATAGAATTCATGAAATACAAATTATTTAATTGGTGTATTTTCTTTTAATATAATAGAATCTTGTTTTGTTGTTATTAAAATAGAGTAAGTTAATTC